TATATATATATATATATAAGTGTTCTATAAGAAGGGACTACCCATTTTGGTGATTTGATTAAACCACTCTTCGTACTAGTGTCTATAGTACAGATAAAGGGTCGGTTGTCATATACCTTAAAACTGACTCCGCCTTCCGAAAATGACTTGAGTATATTCATAAATGTAATTATGGCGAATATCTAGCTCAGTTTCTGTCCAATTATTTCACCTTAACTTCGTCTTCAGAAGATGATCTAAGAATCCAATTTGTAAGGCCAACTCATGTATTTCGCTTTCCGAAAATGACCCAAATACATTATTTATTAATCTAATTTGAACGAGTCTAGAAAAAAAATCTCCTGACTCTTGGTTTCTATAAAGACCAAAAAACTTATCCTTAGAAAACTGTTTGAGGTAAATATGCGAGTATTTCTTGAAAGGAGAGCTCACATATTTATTACCTATCGAAAAGAGAAATGGTTAAGACGAGACGGCACGAATTCTTCATTTTCTCCGATAGTAATTCGAGATTTTATTTGACGGCCTTGCCAGGGGATTTGGATCATTGTTTATAGCCCGACCTTCTGTTTACGGCTATAGGCAGCTACCTCGCCTAATCAACTTATACATCCTTTACAACCATGTCTACAACAACCGGGAACATAAAAATGTGCTTACATGTACAGGTATATCAATATAATATACCGGAGTATTTTGAAAAAGAAATAGCTTTTTGTTTCCGAATGGTCCACTGATAACGATATCAGTACAGTTACTATCAGCAACGATTGGCACTCGCTAGTGATGAATTTTACAATGATTTATCCTAATTAAAAGGGCGATAAAACTAGCACTAAATAATCTTTCATCCTTGCGAATTTAATTAAGATAATTATTGTTTGACATTTTTTAGATCATTACACCTCCAACATGTGAATGATCTTGAAGAATTAGAGCGAAATAGTAGTTTTGGATCAAAATCAAACTGCCTCCGTATAAAATTATTACGCATATAAAAATACCAGACACAGGCAGTTTGATCACGATAGACCACCCTGCTGTAAATCTGTAACACGGTGGTCTGGTCTTTGTGTTTTTTAGAAGCACCGTCTAAAGCGTAATTCCTCAAACTTAATGACGTAAACATCGATTTAGAGCTCATTTGAATACAAGGGCGGTTTAAAGGCCAAAACAAAAAGCGCAATAACGAGCTGTCACACCAAGACATTTTCGATGTTCATTAGGCAGGATGCTGCTTTCAGAATAAGGTGACAATAAAAAAAATAAAGATTATTACATTTTATTTATCGATGACTTCTTACAAAGGATGCTGCACTAAACCTACTAGAATTATTTCAAAAGTTACACAGCCCAAGAAAGAAGTAGGTACCGGTAGAATTTTATTAAAAAAAAAATGATCAATTTATAAGTATCTATATTATACAAGGTGTTTATTAAATTTACGTTAAAATTTGAAGGGGTTGTTTCCCGATTTGTTCAAAGGATATTGTGTCCTTTGCTGAACTTTGGAATGCTGGTTTGTTTATCCTAATTGAAAAACCCCTTGAATTATTACTTATGAGGTTATAAAGAGTAATTTTTCAGTGGAAAATTTAAGAAATCGGATAATTCCAGGGTGTAATCCAATAAGAAACTGCCTTGTTGTTTTCGAAGGAGTTTAGAGGAGTTTGTTGTTCTACAAACAAATTATACACTAGGTCCGATCAGTAATGCGGAATATTTGAAGGTTAACATTTGGAGGCACTGTAGACCACATCTCGTCATAGTAGGGAATGTAAAAAGTGTGCACAGAAAGTACCCCAGTTAATGACTGAGAACTTACTGCGTTATCTTATCGGCTTTCGACGAAACAGACATACTTATTCGTGGCCTTCGCGAACAGCTGATACATAGATAAGTCAATTGTACGTAATAATACACAAATGCAAATACAAAATTAAGTCGAAATGAAGAAATATCAAATAAAAACCAATGAATTCTACTTTATTTTCACGTATCTTCGTTTCCCTCAATTTTCCCGGAGTG